ATATTGCTGATTTTTTTCCAAGTGTAATAACATTCTTAAAGAGTTTCAGATACCAGATTTGTGAATTTTTATGAACATTCATTTTAAAATGTATACAATGTACATAGGTAATGTGCAAGGAAATGCGTTGAAAACAATTCTTCTTTCTCTGTTATTTTCAATCTTTAGAGATGTATTTTTAATATAAATGTAAGCCTGACTATCAGTCAATTACGTGGTCCGTCTAAACCAGTCAACTACTCTAACCAACTCCCGTATGTTACCATACGTATTTTGTCCAGCTTCAAAAGTCTAAAAATTGTTTTCGTGGATTCGCTTTTGGACAGATCTTTTCTCATTTTTGAGTGACTGTCCGCATTTTGTATAAGGAGAGAACAGACCTTAAATGTGGCTGCGTAACAAACCGAAAAAAAATGTAAGAAAAATGCTATCAGAAGGCTAAAACATGCATCTTCGAAAATTCACCAGCTTCCGGGGGCGATTTCGCCCTAGACCCATCGGGGGCTTTAAGGCGACCCCCAAACCCCAAGCCTATCCAGGCGTCCACATCAAATGTACCCTGGCTACGCCCCTGTTTATTATAAATTTAATGATGTTAAACCATGTAATCATAAATTCTATTTGCAACATTTACAGACAAGAGTAATGTTTAGTTTTGAAAAAATTACTTGCATTTTTTTTTCAATCAACCCCACTGAGTTTTCAACCTTTGATATTTTCCCTGACCAAATAAAATGTGTCCAAGCATCTTTTACTGTTGAGTTAGCAATGGATTACACGACTTCTGAGATGCATTTTTCAATAAAAGTAAAATAGGATAATTCTTTCGACATGTGCACATCCCTGTAACGATAGCAGTATATTCAGGTAAATGTTTTATCACTGCGTTTGACGCGTTTTCTCGACCTGCATGGATTGTTGCTGTACATGAATGTATTCTGTATTAGTGTATTTTCTATATTGCAGCAAATGCATTCAAAAATAATTTAATTCTCGGTTTAGTTCTATTTTTTGTTGAATTCTTACTTTTCAAACATGTATTTGGTCAGTTTATTCAGTTTATGGACTTCTAAAGACTATGCTATCGGAGATGTGTACATGTTGACAGCCAGGCTAGAAAATCACTCAAGTGAAACAATTGTACAAGGCTATATATAGCAGGTACGGGTGGCCAAAAATCTTCGATAAAATATGGCGGAATCGAAGAAATATGCTGACAAGGGCGTACAGGAATGTAGTAAGTCGTACATAGATGAAAACTAATGCCTTTTTAAGAGTTCATGTCAGCTTTAATTTCTGAATAATTCTAAAGTTTCTAAAGTATAATATTATGATACCTTAAATAGATAATAAACTGCTGAAATATAAATAAATTAAATTAAATAAATTCCAGGAAATAATAATATCAAAATTATTTTACAGACAATAATAATAATATGCATGTCAAATAAACTCAAAATACTAAAATACTAAAACTATGTACTCTTTTCAAATATTTACACTTTACCACATATTGCTTTTTATGGCACGCCAAATTCACAAAAATGAGATAAACCTAGTTTCACATTTGATAAACTAGGTTTATCGACTGTAAACTATAGTTTACAAACCGTAAACTATAGTTAATGATTCGTTAAGTATAGTTTTCAACTGTAAAACTATATTTAACGGTTGTTAACTATAGTTTACGAATGATAATCTAAGTTTGTCTGTAATAAGCGTTAACAATAGATTTTGTTGATAAACATAGATTCACGTTTGTAAACTATAGTTTATAATCGTAAACTATATTAATCATAGTTTCACAAATAGTGAAAATATATTTATCAGATCGATAACGGTTTGTAAACTATAGTTTACAAATCGTGAAACTGTATTTATCGGATAATCTATGTTTTGCAATCGCAAATGATTGTTTTCAGTGTTAAGTATAGTTTACGGTTGTGAAATATAGATTATCGCGTTATCTATGGTTTACGGATGTAAAATATAGATTAACGTTGTTAACTATAGTTAACAGTCCGTAAACTATAGTTTACAACCGATAAACCTAGTTTATCGACTGTGAAACTATGTTTTGCTCATTTTTGTGAATTTGGCGTGCCATAGCTTTTAGTTGTCATCGTTAATTTTCCTTTTTTTTCAACTTAAAAAAAAGTTCATTTATCAATATCGGACGCCGGCGTAATCAATCTAGTTGCTTATTTTAGACCCACTGCATTTCCGTACATTTTTCTTCATCTCTTCTTCTTCCGGTATAGTGCATGGCCTTTTAGGCATCATCGCACTTTACTAGCGAGGAGCTGTTTTCTGCAGGATCCATAGCTAGTCAGTAGGGAAAGAAGAGGGCCATTAAATAGCTTTTTAATCCTGTTGCTGAAATTCTTAAATATTAATCTTACAAAGTTCTCTTTAGCATGCAACTTTTTAGACATGCAGAATAAGAGGTTTCAATTGGTAAGGGTCATGTAATAACGTTAATTTAAATATCATTCTCGAACATTTGTACTTATTGGGAGAAAAAGTAGGTAAATAATGTTACTCGGTCACTGAAGTTTCTATTACAAAATGTCTTACTTGCAACCAAACTATTTTCTGTTAAAAACTCTGAACTCGGATCCTAAGAAAATGATTGCAATATAATCTTATTTCTGTAGTGAAATTTGGCCAAAAAGATATAGATTCATGAAATAATCTGTGCTAGTGAGTTGTAACACTTACGTATGGAATTCTTAGATTAAGCTGAGATGTTTGAAACTTCCTCGAGTCCTAAGAAAAAACATGTATATGTACAGATGTGTGCCAAAAGTGGAGATAATTTTATTTTTTCTCTATATATTTCAATGAAAACAACATTTTGTAAAATCCCTGTTACTGAAGACATTTCTCGACAGATTTTACCATAAATTTCTCGATAATCCAAGAAATTGTTGTAGTTTATAAAAACAATATTTTTCTATGATCCGCACTGATATTCTAAAAATATTGTAATTCAAAGGTGCATATCTTTACTTTGGCACACAACGGTACATCGCAATAATTTTCTTTTTCTACTGTAAATGAGTCTACTGCTGCTTATATTATTCCCCACAATCACCCCACCATCACCTCTTCCACTGAGCTAGGGGCTTGATAAATAAAATTTCAATATTGAATATAATTATTTAGAGCTTTTATACAAGTACGTTGTTCAAGAAGGAAGAATGTAGTTTTTCTTGGTCATTTAATAACACGGTTGTGATTCCCAGTAAATATATTTAGTTTATGAATATAAAATATACTGGAACAATTCGCTGATGAGAGAGAGAGAGAGAGAGAGACTGAGACTAAGAACGATAACTCTGTTATTATTCGAAAACTCTCCAGTTAAGAGAGGTAAATTAGTAAGAGTCTCGAGTCGCGACGAGAAAGTGACAGTGACAGTGTAAACATTACTAAACTGATGTTTGAAGTTTAAGTACCGATTAATTTTTTCAAGCTACATATCAGATACTTCATTTTTTACAACTGGACCGTTTCCATTGTAGATGCCAACAGCTAGTGACGTAAATTGAGGCGAACTCAACTGATCACCTTCCACTGGCTTCCAGCTTCCCCATTCGAGTTCCTGCTGTCAAAATCAAATTTCCTAAAAAAATGAATGATTTAGGTAAAACCCAGAAAATTATTTTGTAATGAAAAATGCATTTCTATTTTATCAGTCCTCAATTTTTTAAATGCGAAAATGAAACTTAAAAATTGTTTTTTCTAAGCATCAGTTTTAACTGAAGATCTGTCAGTCTAGCTGTTAGTAGCCCGCTGATCTGAAAAAAAAACCCACAATGTGCTACCCGTAGAAAAAAATTCTGTGTTTATTGTGCACAAAAAATTGAGCTACATTTTGAATAAATTTTCAAAATTCTTAACGGTGTAAAATCTTGATTTCAATTTTTTTCTTTATCTATCAGTTAATTCTCTCATATTTGTTATATTTTGGAAGAATTAGCTTGAATGTAGAATTTTTGGCTTTACTGAATGTGGTTATCAGCCTGGATAGCTCAGTGGTCAGAGCACCTGACTAGTAATGCAGGGGTCCCAGATTCAATTCCCGTTCCAGCCATATGTTTTCTTTGTGCATTGCTCTTCCTACTAATTTTGGTGGCCAGTGGGGGGGGGGGGGCCTGTTCAGGTTATAGTGTACTGTTAACCAACTTTTATTTACTTGTGAGAAATTTTTGTGAAGTTCGCGACAGTGTCGTCATAGCGAATATTTCCGCCTTTTTGTCAATTAATTTAAAACAGATCGAAAAAGACCTGATCACGAAAATTAATAGTCGCCAACTACTTTACCCCTGGTGAATTGCAAAATAAGTTGTTGTGAATACATGTAAAAGTTGGTTTATAGTATGTGTAAATTAGTAATTCCTGGCAGGGCTCTGGAACTTGTGTCTTCCAGGTCTAACACTGTTTAAAGAGGGAGGAATGTAGAATTTTGGGCTTTACGGACCATGAATATTGGCCTGAATAGCTCAGTAGTCAGTCAGTACCTGACTACTGATGCAGGGGTCCCGGGTTCAATTTCCTGTCCAGCCATATGTTTTCTTTGTGCATTTTGATCTCATTTCCTACTACAGCTTTGGACCCAAAATGGCAGTGACAAGTAATAAGGCAAAATTTTCAATTTCAGGCGGGTGGGTATTAACAATAATTATAAGGATGATTTGAAAATAGTAAACCAATAAGTTAGGAACACATGGTAAATAATATTTTGAGATGACACTGAGTAATAAACATGGAGGAATAAATTGAGGAACATCATAATTTTTTGTGCGCAGTATTACATATACACGTTTTGCAATAAGTGGCACTGTAGTTCTTTGGTCTGTCAATATACTATAGTAATTTGTTTTTTCGGAGAGCTACAGTTCTGCAGCTACATTAGATTATGAGATACAATGCAAGTGGCAGGGTAGCACAATTAATATATTATACAATCATGTAGTTCTACATGTAGCATTAATCAAGATATGAATTAACTACAGAAATGAGGCGTGCCCAGGCGCACCTGTATGAGCGAGTGGTTCGCGGGGATGATGACATTGAACTACTGTTTCAGAAATACAAAGGAATCCTCGACACGGACATTATTGTTTGTATGTATTCAACTTCAGTCATTCAACCGTTTAATAAAAGTGGTCAATAATATTTTTTGTAAAAATAGGACATGTTTACATAGAGAAGTATGTAGGATAATACTCATTATAAAACATTTTGGTTTGAGCGCATGATTGACATGAACACAAACATATTTACATTCTATAATAAACATATTATTAAGTGAATAGCTATTGTTGGCATTGTTACATGTATTGAAATTGATGTTCTCAAGTTACTATGATAATGTTCATTTACCCGAGGTATACTAAATTGATTTTTCAGGTTCCAATTTTACCTGTAATTGTGGACGAAACTTCTTTGAGAGCCACCCATTAAATCACGGGAATGCTTTGGAGGAAGGTTTAGATACTGTGTTGGACTTCATAACACGAGGAAGTTGCTCCTGTGGAGCAGAAAATCCAAGCCACTTCAAAAATCACTTTTCCTCCCTACGATTGGTCCATGCTGCTGCAGGGTTTGGACACACAAAAATTCTCTCATTGTTGAACAAATATGGCTGCAACATGAATGCTACAACAGAACAATGTCAGAGAACACCTCTTTCCTATGCAGTGCGGTCTCGACAATTATGTGTCATAGACTACCTGATTGGTTTAAGACTGGATGTTAACGTTCCATTTCTTATAGACAATACCAGTCCAATGCATGAGGCCGTACAGTTACGTTATGTGGATGTTGTAAAAAAGCTATTAAAAGCCAAGACTATTAACATAAACCAGAAAAATGCAAAGGATGAGTCCCCTCTTATTCTTGCTGCCAAGTACCACTTACACGAGGCATTTCTTGCTCTGCTTGAAGCAGGGGCGGACTGCAATATCCAGGACAGAAAAGGCAACACTGCTCTGATGATGGGGGTGGTCCGCGGTATGGAGTATGTCAAGCCACTGATAGAGAGAGGGGCTAAAGTTAACATTATAAACCACAGGGATCAGTCTGCCTTATCATTTGCCCTACACCTGGGTAAGTGTTTGTTTAAATCATATTGTAGTGTCATGGAAAACTCTTATCAAGTTCATTTAGAGTGCAGAGCTCACTTTGTGCTATAGCTTGAAAAAAATTGGTATACTTTTCATTTCAGAAAACACAGAAATGGTGTCATACTTGCTTGAGAATGGAGCTGACCCTGACGTCATGTCAAGTGATGGCACTCCACCCATTGTTTTTGCCAGTATTACAGGTGCATATGATATCACTCAGAAGCTGGTTAAACATGGAGCAAATGTGACATCTAAAAATGTACAAGGCTATACTGCCCTACATGTGGCTGCTTGGAATGGATACTGCAACATTGTGCAGCTGCTTCTAGACTCAGGAATGAGTCACGATACACGCACAGAAGATGGGAACACCCCTCTGTCACTGGCTGCCCATGGAAACCATACTGCTGTGATCGATATGTTGCTCCCTCTGGGCTGTAATGTCAACAATGCAGACAAGGACGATGATACCCCACTTCTTTATGCTTCTTTTAACAAAAATCTGGAAATGGTCACCAAATTAGTCAATGCTGGTGCCAACCCAGATTGTAAGAACAAGCATAATACCACGCCTCTGTGGAACGCGGTGTATAAAAATGATCTGAGTACAATCAAATATTTAATTGTTAAGAATGTGGAGCTTGAGGTGGTCTCCTGTGGAATAGATCAGCATGCCCAGTCTGATGTGGCTACCTTGATTTACCCAGAACCCCGCTCTGTGATATATGTGGCGGCTCACCAGACCAGTATTGACGTTCTGATGACTCTAACTCTGGCCGGGTACAATATCTACCGGGAGAGCTGGATCACAGCCCGGGAATTCCCCGCTGACAGTCCTATCCTCCACAGACAACAACAAATGTTTTTGAATAATTTTGCCACCTCACCTCCAAGCCTTTTGGCCATCTGTCGGAACTTTTTTAGAAGAAGATTTAGGAGGAATGTCATTCCTTGTGTTAATTCACTTGACATTCCACAGGACCTGAAGGACAATCTGACCTTGAAATATTTCATTTCTGAAGAGTTCTTTAAAATGTAGAGATTCCTTTAGGTCTAAAAAGAAAAAAAACCCTGTGTTTTATTTTACCAGTGCTCTTTTTAATATACCTGTGTACATAGTTTCTTAACATGAAGTGAATTACTAGAATATTTATTAAGAAAATTGCTTAATGTGTATGTTAAGTGTAAATGCAATGCAGAGTTTTTCTTTGTACATACCGATATTTATTTATTTTTTTCTAGAATGAAAAATCAATTCCCTCCCCAAATACACCATGTAGATATAAATTTATTATTGCTACTGTTATTAAATTTTGAGGGTTCTTTCTGATAGTTTTATCATACTTTCCTGATTTTTGATGTTTGCATGCATGGTGTACAGCACCTTATTTCATTACAATTAATCATTAAGATTTTTTTTAATTTATCTGAATCTCCACTTTACCAGTAGTAAATGTATTGAGTGAGCCTGTCTGTTTAACCTCTATCCACTGGTAATTAGGAATCCAAGTAATGATTTTGCTTTCAATTATGAGGAAGAAAGACTGATAATGGCCCACACTACTTTACAAGTGGAAATATTAGCAAGACCCAAATTTAATTATTTGTCCTGAAATAATGATTCATAATTTTTGTGATCTTATGAAATTTAGAAATACAGTGGTTCATTGTAAGTTCCAATGCGATAGGAATTATTAGCAATATTTAATTTTAACAATTATATCAAAATCCTTACTAATACATGTAATGCAAAAATTGATTCCTTGCTAAAATTTCTGCTTATACTGTATATATTCAGCATGGAGGACAAAGATCAAGGCAATGGACTTATTTAATTTTATTGTATTTTTAGCTCACCTGTCGAGCCGAAGGTGAATTAAGTAGCTTTTCTGATAAAAATTTATCTGTTGTCTATCCTTGTTGGTGTCACTTTATTATAACATTATCATCTTCTCAAGAAAAACATGCAAATTTCAACCAAACTTGGCAGGGATTATCATTAAGAAAAAGGGATTGAATTTTTGATAAATTATTTTCTATGGACAATTCTAAGGAGAGTTAAATTATAAAAAGGCAAAAATAGGGTGGAATCATTTCAAAATCTTCAAAAACGGCTGTAGAAAAATATGAAACTTCAGTGAAAGCTTCTTGACAAATTGTATAGTTAAAGATTCTTCAAATTATGATCATTGGATAGGTATTGATGTCAAATTGACAGGAATATACAGGAAAAAGTACATAGTATGCATGATAATGATCAGTGATATTAATATGCAAGCATCTTTTAGTAGTTCAGATTCAAGTTTAGTTAAAACAGTGCCCATAGGTTAAGATGTCACGCTATAGGGAATGGAGAATTTACATAGGCATACATATATGAAAAAAAATTTTTAAAGAGGATCATGACCATGATTTATAATATAAGCAAGTGTCCTCAGATAATGAAATTTGTTTAAATCTCAACCTAGGGTATAGGATGGGGCCACATGAGCTCAAAGATGACTTATACACTCATGGAGGATTTGTAAGCATTGCTGGTTTAAATTTGAATGGTGTCAATAATTTTTTTTATAATTCAGTTAAAAAAATTAAAATCTAATAAAGACCATAGACTATGATGTCTCTGGTGAGCATTGCGAGTTATAGGCCTGTTGTTAATATTCCCTTATCATCAGCTCCAATTTTGTTTTGCTTTTCATCCCACATTTTGATATCTTATTTACATTTTTAACAAAATTCACAAAATTACTGTCATCAACACTATTTCATATGATTGAGAATTTTATATTACTTGTATAGGGTAAGAATCTGTTTTGTGCTTGTTTGTGAATACTATAGATACGTCATATTTTATTCTACCAAACAAATTTTTTATTACTGTATTTTCAGAATAGTAAATCAAAATTTACCATATCGTACCATTTATATAGCTTACAAATTGTTTTCAGCATTGGATTATTAAAAGTACACGTACTTTCCCAAATTCTGTTGGCACCTAAGGATGCTTTGTACCAAGTTTGATCAAAACTATAGAAGTTCGAAAATGTATTAGCACTCAGCTCACTAAATGAAACAAAATGTTCCCATACCACTATCATGGCAAAGTCCATGTTTTGTTCTTGGAGACTTAAATAACTGTCAGTTAAAAAAAAGAGGCCCACGGGCCTTAAGGTCACCTGAGTAAATGTAACAACTTTCCAACAACTGAAAAAAATTTGGTTTGACTATTTTATAACCAAATGCTCTTGAAATTCACAATTTTGAAAGAAGACCATTGTTGATCATAACTATACATTTAGCATGCTTAATTTGGTTAACTATAATAAAAAAAGGGAATCAGATAACAGAGAGAAAATGCATTTCCACTTTATAGGCACTAGTTGTGCACACCAACCCAAAGTAACCATCCCACATTTTGATATCTTATTTACATTTTTAACAAAATTTTAGTCATCAAAATTTCATATGATAAATTTTATATTCATCAGAAATGGTGTGATTGATATCAAAGAACGGATTTCAAAGTATTACTTTATTTTCAGACTATGAAGATTTTTAAAGAATTTATGCATTTTCACTATATAATCAACAGAGCCCCACCACAACCCCTGAACTCGGGGCCACGAAATTCATAATTTTGGAAGAGGCAGTCTTATTCAACTTAACTATGTACTTAGTTAGCTTATTTCATACCCAGGAGAAGAGAAGAAGATTTTTAAAAGAATTAATGCATTTTCACTATATAAACAATGAAAGAGCCCCGCCCTAACACAAGAACCCCTCACCCATGGGCTATGAAATTCACAATTTTAGAAGAGGCATTCTCTGTCATAATAACTATGTACTTAGTTTATTTGTTTTATACCCAGGAGCAGAGAAGAAGATTTTCAAAGAATTAATGCATTTTACTTAGCACACTAACCAATAAAGCCGCCTGGTGGATATACCATAACCCTGTCCCCAAGGTCAGTGAAATTCACAAATTGGGAAGAAGCATCATCCTTCCTTATCATAACTATGTACAAAGTTCTGTGGTTAAATATCCAAGTGCAGAGAAGAAGATTTTTAAAGAATTTATGCATTTTCACTATATAATCAATAGAGCCCCGCCCTAACACCAGAATCCCTGACCCTGGGGCCATGAAATTCATAATTTTGGAAGAGGTAATCTTATTCAACATAACTATGTACTTAGTTAGCTTATTTAATGCCCAGGAGCAGAGAAGAAGATTTTCAAAGTAATAATCCATTTTCACTATATAACCTGTTTAGCCCCGCCCTAGCACTAGAACCCCTGACCCTGGGGCCATGAATTTCACAATTTTGGTAGAGGACTCAATGCTGATTACAATCATACCAACAGTTTGACTGCTTGATGTCCCGGAGTAAAGAAGAAGATTTTTAAAGATTGCACTAATTTTAGTGGTTTTGGCCCCACTCCAAGGCCCCAGGGGGGCAGGGACCATGAAATTCACACTTTTTGTTCCCCTTCACCCATAGATGCTATATGCCAAATTTGGTTGAAATTGGTTCAGTGGTTTCAGAGAAGAAGCTAAAAATCTTCAAATGTTAACGCACGAAATAGGAGGTGCACAATGGCACTATATGTAATACAGAATCTGAGAAAGTATCATGGAGTTGCCGATAAGAGATGGATACCCTTCTATGTTATAGAAAGAATGGCAGTGTCCATGTTTTGCTATGGGAAACCCAAAATGCTCAAAGATCAAGGTAAAAAAATGTTGAAAGTTTGATAGCTCTCCTTTCTATATTTCAGCAATTTTAGATTATTTTTATTGTATACTTCTGTGGATCTTATAGTATAGTATTATACTCAGGTGACTGACCATTAAGGCCCTTGAGGCTTTGGTTGCTAACGAGCTAGCTACTAATGAAGGCCCCGAGAACCATTAAAATTGTGGTTGATCATGAACATTGACTCCTGCTAATTAAAATGATTCTGCAGTCCTAGACTTTGATGTCATTGTCATCAGCAAATCCTCACCTGGAATTGGATCACATTGAAGTATTGAAAACAAACACAACACTAATTTTTCTTTTTTAATTTAAAATATGCTTTTGAATTCCACACATACTGCAGACCTGTTCCTATAGTAGTGCATCCTGTAATGACACTGAAACAGAAAAAAATTAAAAGTTGTTAAATGAGTTAAAATTTGTCTACTTCAACAATTTACTATTTCTCTTGAAATTGACAATTTCATTTAATAAATATATACATGTATAACAAAAGAATGCTTAACTTCATGTTTTGTATAAGCAAGAAGTTGAATAATTCAATGTAATGGTACAAGTATAATATTCTATGATATGAAACTTAAATTGACAATATATGCAGTAAAATTCGGTTATAGCGAAGTCCTGGGGGCCTGTGAATTTAATTCGCTATATCCGTAATTCGTTATATCCGTATAACGAATTCTTAGAACCATATATAGAGAATTCGCAATATGCATGTTTTCGTTCTAGTATTACTACCAAATATGTTAAGGAAGCAAATATTTCAAAAAATGCTTTTGGTAACTAAGGTTTTATTTGGATTTGAATTTTATATACAAATGCTTAAAGAAAACAAAGTCAGTTCCATTTATCAAATTTTGAGATCTTTGAAAGTTCGTTATAAAAGATGAAAATATCATTATATTTAACCTCGACAGGACTCAAAATCAGTTCGATATATCCGTAAATTCGTTATATCCGAGTTCGATATAACCGTAAAATTTTACAAAAATTTGTTTAGAATTTTGCCGGGGACTCAGAAAAACTTCGCTATATCCGTGAATTCGCTATATCCGTGTTCGTACAAAAGATTTTCTTTGACTGGGGAAAATAAAG